AAGAATGAAGTCCTTGACAACTTCAATCTTTTCTCCATTGATAAGTATGTTGTTTATTGGTCCAGTGGTGAGGATTTTTGTTTTCTTGACATTGAAATGTAATCCATACCGAAGGCTGTGTTCTTTGATCTTCATCAGTAAATGTTTTAAGTCCTCTTCACTTTGAGCAAGCAAGGTTGTATCATCTGCATATCACAGGTTGTTAATGAGTCTTCCTCCAATCCTGATGTCATGTTTTTCTTCATAGAACCCAGCTTCTCAGATTATTTGCTCAGCATACAGGTTGAATAAATATGGTGAAAGAATACAACCTTGTCTCATATCTTTCTTAATTTTAAAACATAGAGTGTTCCCATTTCTGTTTGAACAACTGCCTCTTGGTCCATGTACAGATTCCTCATGAGCACAATTAAGTGTTCTGGAATTCACAATGTTGTCCATAGCTTGTCATGATCCACACAATCAAAAGCCTTTGCGTAGTCAATAAAGCACAGGTAAACAAATTTCTGATATTCTCTGCTTTCAGCCAAGATACTTCGGACATCAGCAATGATATCCCTCATTCCATGGCCTCTTTTGAATCCGGCTTAAACCTCTGGAAGTTCTCTGTCAATGCATGATTGCAGCCATTTCTGTATTACTGTTAGTGAAACTTTACTCACATGGGATATCATAGAGATTGTCCGATGATTTCCGCATTCCCTTTGCATCACCTGTCTTTGGAATGGGCACAAATGTGGATCTCTTCCAATCAGTTGGCCAGATAGTTGTCTTCCAAATTTCTTGGCACAGAAGAGTGAGTTCCTCCTGTGCCGCTTCACTTTCTTGAAAGATTTCAATTTTTATTCCATCAATTCCTGGAGCCTTGTTCTTTCCCAATTCCTTCAATGCACCTTGGACATCATCCTTCAGTATCATTGGCTCTTGATCATATGCTACCTCTTGAAACGGTTGAACATCAACCATTTCCTTTTGGTACAGTCACTCTGTGTATTCCTTCTGTCTTCTCTTGATGCTTTCTGCATCATTCAGTAATTTGCCCAGAGAATTATTCAATAACGAAATCGAGGCTTGAATTTTTTCTTCAGTTCCCCCAGCTTGAGAAATGCTGAGCGTGTTCTTCCTTTTTGTTTTTCTGATTCCAGATCTTTGTACATTTTGTTGGAATATTTGGCTTTATCTTCTCGAGCTGATCTTTGAAATTTTCTGTTCAGCTCTTGTACCTCCTCATTTCTTCCATTTGCTTTAGCATCTCTATGCTGGAAAGTTTCAGTGTCTCTTATGACATCCATTTTGACCTTTTCCTTCTTTCTTGTCTTCTTAATGACTTTTTGTTTTCTTCATGTATGATGTTCTTGATGTCATTCCACAACTCTTCTGGTTTTCGGTCTATAGTGTTTAATGTATCAAATCTGTTCTTCAAGTGATCTCTAAATTCAGGTGGGATATATACAAGGTCATATTTTGGCTCTCGTGGACTTGTTTTCATTTTCTTCAGCTTCAGTTTGAATTTGCATATGAGTAGTTGATGGTCTGTTCCACAGTCTGCCCCTGGCCTTGTTTAGACTGATAATATGGAGGTTTTCCATCGTCTCTTTCCACAGATGTAGTCAATTTGATTTCTATGTATTCCATCTGGTGAGGTCCATGTGTATAGTTATCTCTTATGCTGTCTAAAGAAGGTATTTGAAATGAACAAATCATTGATTTTGCAGAATTCTATCATGCGATCTCCAGCATCATTTCTATCACCAAAACCATATTTTCCAACTACTGATCCTTCCTCTTTGCTCTTAACCTTTGCATTCCAATCACCATTAATTGTTAATACATCTGGATAGCATGTTTGATCAGTTTCAGATTGAAGAAGTTGGTGGAATTCTTCTATTTCGTCTTCACTGATTTTAATGGTTGGTACATAAATTTGAATAATAGTGGTATTAACTGGACTTTCCTGTAGGTGCATGGATATTATCCTATCACAAACAGTGTTGTACCTCA